TTTGCATATATTCATGAAGAAAAAAAAAAGAATTGAACTAGATTTTCCTGAAAATTGATCAAACATAAGATTTGAATACGATTTATTTGATAAACTAAAGCAATGTAAACCGGCTTAAGGTAGATCAGTAATAGAAAAATTTCAATACTTGCTAATATTGCTGATCAAAAACTTTTTGCTATACCTTAGTATTGTCAAATATTAATTTCTGTTAAAAGTAGAGGAAGTAGATTGTGTGATGCGGGCAACAGATTTTCTTATTTACATTTAGTCACCTTTATTCTCTCATTCACCCCTTTCTGACACCAGGATATGAAACCGTAATCTTACATTGGAAATTGAATAACTGTAACTTCGTTAATAGTTGTCCAAAAGGAACGATTTTTATATGGCTTTGTAGAGAATTTCATTACCTTTCAAACGACAGGCTAAACGGTGTAAAGTTTCTCAGAGGCTTTTTTTTCAGAGATACAGGGAGCTCTGAAACATCGAAAACCGCATTTCGGAAATTTGACCCTATTGCAATACTTTCCTCACCTAGTATAGGTAGGAAAGTAATAAAATAACCTAAAGATAAGTAAATTAAAAACATAAAAACACAGTCATACCTATATACAATCAGACGAGGAACCCCAAGCCAATCTTCTTCCTCCAATTATAGAAGGAAAAGCAAGACTCCAAGAGATCCCTGCTCTATCCTCTCAACCGCATCACTGGTGCTAAAGTCAGTGGAGTTAAACATATAATAACGATGACCTAATATAAATTGTAATAGCTAAAAGAACTACACTTAAAAAAAGATAATTGATAAAGTAATGAGTGATAATTATTCAGAGTGTTATTTTCACATTAAATGGTAATTAAGATGTCCCTGGTTCTTCGAATAACAGGCAGAGATAAAATATTTATCTTTAATGACCTCTGCTGGTTGCTCATTGAATAGGACATCGATGTGATTAAATGTTGATCATTGATACTTAATTTTAAATCCTTGACAGCATAAAGCTTACTGAAACAGTATCATTAAGAATAGATGAATTAAAGAATGAGAGAAACTGCAGAATAGAACATAAAATGTGAACAGACATTGTCCTCGACCTCACATCTTGAAAACTCATCAGGAACTGGTTGATGAAGTCGTCTAAACAAGTCACTCTTGAAGCATTCAGTTGCTAACGAGATTGAAATTCGTTCTCAATTCTACAAAAAGTGTTAAAGCCTTTTGATAGACAGTGAGTAAGCATCGATGAAAATAACATCCCGTTCTTTTATCCATCGATTGAATCACAGTTACTCATCGGATTTTACTTTTACGATCAATTAATCCGCTGATTTCAAATTAATTATTTTAGGAGTTTCTGAAATGCCTCGAATGATTTTATTCAATATACACATTTATGAAAATTTTTAGAACATATTTTCTAGTTTTCAATAATTGTCCCGATTTTGCTACCAGAACCAAGAACGAAACCAAGAAGGTACGAAACACATACATATGTTGAGACCTTCTTGGTTTCGTTGCTCATATATCATTATATTCCATCTTCTATTTCACATTTTATTTTATTTCTCTATATTTACTTTATTGCCATTTCATGTTATCTCATGCGTTCAATTTCCTTATAGATATTTCCCTTTTATTTTGTTCCCTTTTTCATTTTCTTAGATGTCAGTAGTCATTGTTTCTTACTCATAAAATATCTCCTACTATATCATATGTTCATCTTGTATTAGTATATTTGTTATTATTCTTGGCTTTGTTATTTTCATATAAAGGCTCTTTTGAATTATATTAAAGTTTAAATTTCTTAAAACATTGTTATAATACTTTATAACAATTTTCTTTTTTTGAACTAATGAGTAAAATTTTAGTTTTGTTTAATTTAACTGAAATTCGACTGCTTTTTTTTAGTCGGTTAATTTCATTAAGTTACTTTATCTCTTCCGAGAACCTAACAAAATGTTTTGACAGCTCCACACCAAACTTGGTATCATAACAGAAATAAAGTAATTTAAAAAAGATTACAGCTTAAATCTTGTAATACATTGTAACGAATTTTAAACATTTTTTATTACTTCAACTAATAAGTATTAAAACATAATTCGTGGGTACCTGGCTTTATATATTTTAATTTTTAAGATTTCTGGGTGAATTAGACTTTACATTATTATATATAACTCCACGGCTTGAGAGGTGTCCTCAGATTGGGGACATTAAAACCGATTAAAGAAGAACCCAATTTAATTGAGAGTGGACTAAGAAAGTATAGAAGTATTTTTTTTATCATTTTATTGAAATTTACAACTGTAAACATATATACAACCAGTAAATCTGCTATAGGAATGTGTAACATGAAGTTACTTGTGAAGAAGCTACACATTGTTAACACTTCAAAGATACATTAATTGAAGAGGTCTCTTGGCCATCTTCTTTTCAGAAGCCATGGAGGGTTACAAGGAATTGTATTGCATGAAAGGTTACGAACTAGAGGATTGGGCTGACCAAATGGGCCTTATGATGGTAGTGTAAATGATTTTTTTTTTTTTTTTGTAGAATATTGGAAGTTTAAAGCGTTTGTCAAGTAAGTGTTGTAGTAGTCCGAATCTGTTGGTAGTTTCTTCTCTTTTAAGTCTATTATGAGGATTCAAAGTAAGGTGATAAAAAAAAAAAAAAGTAAATATATAATGTAATATATACATATATATATATATATATTAAACTATGTATCGATATTTCCCGACGATCACACGTGCCAAAGAACCTGAAACAGATATTTAAATAAGACTATCACCAAGGCTTACATTACAGAAAAATGAAATAAATAATATATTCTAATTTTTTAATGTTATGTTTATTATAAATGTTAACGAATAATAATTATTGAACGTATTGATCTGTAGTACAACCATCATGCATTTCCTCTGCGACAATTAATTCTCATTCAGTTAATTTAGTTGCAAATATTCCGTTTACAAATGTCGTTCATCTAGCTGTGTTGTTCTAAGCTCATTGTAATTTATCCCAGACTCTCATCTTGTGAGCTATAAATGAACGAGCTAGTGAAAATAATTTTAAACAAATACCACTTGGCTAAACATGGAGATAAATCCAATGCCAGTTTATTATTCCACTCCCTCGAATTCTATTCAACCAGGTATAAAGGCGTACCAATAATCAAGGAGTGTCAATATTTATAAAATAAATAATAATTAACCATATTGTAATAATAATCTTCTTTAGAGGTTTTAAACTGTGTTATAATATATAATTTAAGATGAATACAAATTTTAAAAAGAAAAAAAAAATCTCTGCTGCGAACAACCCATGAAGGGTCTTGGGTTCAGTACAATGTGAGGAAGAACTGTTATAACGGTTGTGCAAGGAGGTGATTGTGTCAAGATCCCGCTCAACTGCAAGTTTTTCCCCTAAATTAATTACAAAAGGATGGTCTCCTGATCCAGGGTCGATCCAAGGCTGATGAAAAATTATTTTAATAGTCATCAGCCGGATTCGAATCTGTGATCTTGAGCTATGGTAGTCAGTGCACAACAACTGTGCCAACCGCTCCTTAATATAAATAAATATTCGGTTTAATTGATCCAAACAATTTATATAAAGTAATAACATAACTATATGATTGAGAATTTCAGTATTATTTAAGAACAAAAAAAATAGTTTGTTGTATTTTTGTATAAGATGTTGTTTGCCATTTATTGTATGGTGCATTGGAGAAAAATTAATTGGGATGTTCAGTTAAAGAACGATCAATAAAAAAAAAATAAATAAAATCTGTTTATTTTGAATACCCTCCCCGATTTGCGCTATTAGAGCTCTCGGTATAAAAGTAAAGAATTTATTTCTCAAAGAGAAATGTATATATTTTACAATGGTGTACTTAGAATTTAAATATCTTAAATAGAATTCAAATATCTTGTAGAATTCATTAATTAATTAAAATTTAAATATCTTGAATTTGTAGTTTATAGTTAAGATGTAGTTTGCCATTTATTATATCCTGTATTGGAGAGAAATTAGTTGGGATATTCAGTTAAAGAACGATGAATGAAGAAATGAATAAATTATGATTATTTTGGGTACCCTCCCCGATTTGCACTATTAGAGCTCTAGAAATTAGAACTGATTTCTCAAAGAAAAATGTATATATTTTACGATGGTGTACTTAAAATTTAAATATCTTGAATAGAATTCAAATATTTTGTAGAATTAATTAATTAATTAGAATTTAAATATCTTGAATGTGTAGTTTGTAGTTAAGATGTAGTTTGATAATTATTATATGGTGTATTGGAGAGAAATTAGTTGGGACATACAGTTAAAGAACGATCAAAGAAAAAAATAATTAATTATGTTCATTTTGGGTACCCTCCCTGATTTGCGTTATTAAAGCTCTAGAAATTAGATGAATATACGGTGTTAATGTGTTCATTTATCTCTATAATTATTGTCCTCGAGACAGAATATGTCCAATTATATATCTAATTATATGTCTAATTAAATAAATATAAAAAAAATAAAATAAAAAAAATTAGAAGTTATTTCTCAAAACAATATTTATATATTTTACGATGAATTACTTAGAATTTAAATATCTTGAACAGAACAATTTCTTCTTATTCAATAAAAACTAGACCACTTTAATAAAACACGAAATTGGTCTTACTAACTCCTTTTCCATTAGGAAAACTAAACATTTTTGTTGGAAATTTTGTCTATATCATCCTCGGGAGTTTGAATATTAAAAACTGAAACATCCTGTACATAGAAGGAAATGCCATAATAAATTTTTTTTCTGTATATAAATTATGAACTGTACATAAAATTTACGATATCTTACTAGTTACTTTCTTGATAACGATGCCTGAATTAGCGAAACGTTGACGGATTAATTATTTTTCTTTCACATTTTTTTGTCAAAAATCTTCCAACCGCTCCATATTTGTAATATTATTATTACTGATATCATAAATGTACCTTTCAGGTGGATACTATACGATCGAACAAAAAGAGCACAAGATAAGAATCATCGCCATAAACACGAACTTGTACATGGGTCAACACCACAAGGAGGACCCAGCTGAACAACTTGCGTGGTTGGAAGAAGTCTTGACTACGGCTCTTAGTAAAAAGGAAACTGTAAGTTTTTTTATTTTTATTTATAAGTATTTTTATATTTTGTATGAAGTGTAATAAGGAAAGGAAAAAAAGAAATTGGATGTCAGATGGCAGAGAACATAAAGTAGATGTATGAATATGAGGAATTCACACTATTGGAAGTTTTGCTTTTTGTGAGGTTTAATAAAGATATATATAACCTTTAAACATGAGCTATGTGTATTAAAAAGAAAAGAAAAAAGGAAATAAATAAAAATATTCTAGGTTTTTTATGAGAACACGTGGAGGATATTGGTTTTAATTATTCATTTATCCGCAGGTTATCAATTATAAATTATATATTTTTTTAAACACTGGTTCTAACCTACTTTCAAATTAGAGACACGTACATGCATGGAATACTTATCGAAAATATTTATCATGGATCCGAACATATTTATTTTTAAAGGAAGGAGATGGTCCGGGGTGGCGGTTATAAATAGGCTAAATAGTGGAAAAACTATTTTATTAAAAACCAACATCTTATCTATAATTTATTAATTCTATTTTATATGTATATATTTATAATTTATTATTTCATAGATAGAGTATTTTCCCCTTTTATCTATCAATATCTTCAAATTCATCAAATTCAGATCAGCAAATTTCCCCAATACCTACCCTTACCTTACGTTATCTACCTTTCTCCTTCTCTTTCAATCTCTCCTGTAGATCTTTAGAAGTATATTCACATTTTCATATATTATATATTGCACTATAGCAATTGTTACCATCTATTTTTTTTCAGTTTAGGATGTTGTTACTTAGTTTCCTCTGTTGATATTTTAATGTACTTACTGTTGATAATTTTAATAAGCTTATTCACATTGCTTATATTTGTTTGTCTAAATATTATGTAACTTCCACAATGCTTTATATCTTTTTGTATCTTGTCCGTTCTAGACCTGAAGAAGACCTGCAAAGTCGAGTCGAAACGTCGGCTTTTAATAGAAATAGTTTTACCACTATTTAGCCTATTTATGACCGCAACCCCGGACTATATACTTCCTTTATAATGCAACGGTCAACTATTAAATATAAATTATTCATTTTTACTGTTTATTGTTTTATTACGAGAAAAAAAATGTATCTCAATTTCCATTTATTATTTTCTTTTTTAATTAGATAATATTATACAGGACCCAGCTATATAAACTGAAGTCCTATTCTGCCTTGTTGTTGTAAAAGATACTATAATTTCTCTAAAGTGCCACTTGATACTTCCTAGATCGAACTCAGCACTACGCCATCATAAAACACTCAAGAGGCTGAGAGTGTTCAACTGCTTCAGCGAAATACCGCCGTCAAAGAGTTATTATAGGTCAGACCTAAAGACAAATAAACACGATGATCTCAATCCTTTTTTCTTGTAAAGGTGCTATTTCGCTGGTACTGTCCACCACGGGCGGATCTACGGGGGGGAAGGAGGAAGCTTTCGGGCTGAAGCCCCCCCCCCCAAAATGGTAAAACATAACCATATTTTATCGAAAAAATTATTAAAAAATTATTTCTTAAAGTATAATTACATTTAAAAGGGCTTTAGGAATCACTTAAACACCAGTTCATATAGGTAGTTTCTTTCTTATTTACCAAAGTAATTATTGTTATTTTTACTAAAAAATAAGCTTTCGGACTGAAGCCCTCCCAAAATTAAATCCTGGATCCGCGAGTGCTGCCCACTGCTACCGCCATTCCGTACTGCCAAACGCTAATGCTTATCTATTTGGCTGAAACTACTCACCGTCGCGGCCAAATTCTGACGATATAGAATCCTACTTTAAAATAATTTTGAATAAAAATGTTAGCTTTAAATGTAATGGCTTTCATTTGTAACGGAAGGACAGCAATTCATATGATGGTGGAGTTTCAATCTTATTTAATTAATATACGACATTTTTTCTGCTGGTCAAATTTGACTAAAAATATTAGGTTATATCTACATTAAAATGTTAATAATTATCTACATATTAACGCTGACAAAATTTTAGCTATAAATATATTCATGATATTATGTCTATATTCTTATAATATTTTGAAATGGAAATATTAGCCTTCTGGTAGAAAAACAACAAAATATTAAGATATAAATATAATACGTGAGTCTATCAACTGCCTCCCGCAGTGCCACATGCCACGCCCTGATAAAGACCTGCAAAGTGGGTCGAAACGTCGGCGTAATAATTAAAAATACTAATTTTTAAAAATTTGGTATTTATTTGACCTCATCCCTCTCCCGCCACCTTCCCCGACCAACTCCTTCTCATATAAATATAATATAATAATATAAACATCAATGTAATAAGTTAAATTTTAATTTATTTTATTACATTGAACCAATGTTAGTGCATTGAATTTGTGACTTACTCAATTTCTTTAGGGAATAATATATTGCTGAAGAGGAGGACGAAGTTTTTCTTGAAACGTTCAATAAATTTGTAACCAAAGACTAATATTGATTAAATTATTATGACCAATAGACAAATGAATCACTATAAAATTATTTACTATTAGCTTTGTTTAAAGTTTAAAAAAATTATTCATTTAATTTTGAGTGACGATTTCAGAAAAAAAAAAAAAAGGAAATGAAATGTAGCAAAGTGACTGTTATCATTAAAACTATTCTCCGAGATGATAACATAATAACGGCGCGGCGTATTACCAATTGCTTCAGGAGCGTTCAGGAAGGAGTAGTATATATAGATGTGACGTCATGCCAAGACCGCCAAGTAGTACCAAAGAAATATGTACTGTTATTTCTATTCCTAAATCAATTGCACTCAATCACTGCTTAAGTGCTAGTAATCGGCTTGGTGGGCTATATCAGCTAAATAGTATCTTTATTGAATATTTAATAGTTGACCGTTTCATTATAAAGGAAGGAGATGGTCCGGGGTGGCGGTCATAAATATGCCCAATAGTGGAAAAACTATTTTATTAAAAGCCAACGTTTCGACCTTTCGGGGAGGTGTGTTCAGCTAGGAGTTTCACTTAAAACTGCGTTTGAGTTTGAGTTTTAAGTGAAACTCCTAGCTGAACACACCTCCCTGAAGAAGACCTGAAAAGTCGGGTCGAAACGTTGGCTTTTAATAAAATAGTTTTGCCATTATTTAGCCTATTCATGACCGCCACCCCTTCATTTAATAATATCATTAGATTGTGCGTCTTTGTGCGAATCAGTTTGAAGCGCTAAACGTACAAAACATAATAACTTTGTTTTGCGAATTGGAAAAGTTTGGGAAAACGCAGTCAATTTCCTTAAATCCTAGCAACATCTTTGCTACCTTTTGTAGAGATCGTGTATTATCTGAAAGTATCATAATGCAACACATATTTCAAAGGTTTTTTTTTGTTTTGTGAGTTTAACTTGCCCCTGGTGGGTCCGAGTACATTGTACTTGAAAAATCAATTCAAAACAAACTATCAGAACCCATCATACAACAATAAAGGCCGTTCCTCGAACTGGAAGTGTTTAAACAGAGCAAGATGATAAATGGTTGATAGCAAGTTGGAACACGACATGGCTTATCAGCTGGCTAACAAGCAGTCCTGGCTGCTAATGGCTGGCACGCCGCCGAACCGATACACTTATATTTACGAGCGTGCCAGTCCCGATGGCTATTTCCAAAAAAAAAAAAAAAAAAAATTAAAAAGAGAATCGCTTTCGCTTTTCGAACTAACAAACGACTTGTCCAGGGTCAGTTTGATTAAACATCTACTGAATTTGATTCAATTTCCGGGATTACATACGAGGTCTACTTTTCAATTTGCAATAAATCGGTCCCTGGCGTGGCAACGAAAGTGTAGAAGGAATCCAGATTTCAAAATGAATCGAAAACAACCGACATTGAACTGGAAGTTTTTTTTTAATGAAATTGTCTTCAATGATACATATCATAATTAAAGTATTTTATACATTTATAATGATTTATCAATAAAAAAAGCTACTGTGTGTGCTTTAGAACACACGGTAGAAGAGAAAACATTAACAAGGCGATATCAATAATATGAACTTTTTTTTTTGTTCTATATTTACAATGTAATAAATTTCCAATATATACAATCTTAGTTGTGTATAAATTATTCTAGTAAACTTTGTCCTGACTGGTCGTTATTTGTATCAAAGTCTAAAAATGATGAAATAGGATTATGATAACTAAAACGTGATGAATACTTCTGATTGGAATATATTTGCCAAATATAAAAAGAAAAACTGTCTTTTTTTTTTTAAATACAATTTCAATAACAGAGGTCAGTAATTTGTCGAAACTTTATCGAGTGCCACAGATAATGGAATAGAAACACACAATTTCTTATTTTGAGACTGATTGAAAAAATATATATTGACTTCCAAAAATTGGTTTCTGGATTCTCCATAGTTTTTAAACTTCGAAATATTTTAGTCCGAATTTTCAAAACAATCGTTATTATTTGTCTTTTAGTCGTCATTTCTTTTTTTTTTCCATTTCAATAAATTAACTCGGTAAAGCGTCAACAATACAATACAATTTATATTTATTGCTGGTTACAAAATGGGTGAAACGCTAAAGATTTCTCTTTCTCACAGTATGCATGTCCGATTTTCAGTTTCTGAGATATCTTAATCCATCCAACAAAACTCGTTATCATTAGGTTTTCGACAGTATCTTTTTCCCTTTTCACCTCTCTAAAACGGTGTTGAGTTAAGATATAATTTTGAATAATAACTCATTACAACGAGGATGAGATGCTAAACTTTCCCCTTGCCTGCAATATACTTGTCCGATCTTTGGTTTCTGAGATATTTTAACCCAAATAAAAAAGAACACTTAAATTATTTAGTTGGCAAATTATGTGGAACAAAAGCCCTCCTAGCAAATTAAAAGTTATTAAAAAATCGGTGAAGCCGCCCCATCGTAGAGAGGAGGTGAGAATAGGACACACGAACCTAACTCATGTACATCTCATCACTAAGCAGCCAAATTGTCAACACTGCAATAGCCCTC